GAGATCGGAGGATGCGATTTTCGAGTCACGTTTAGAAAGAAGACGGTCAGCGGCCTTTCTTGTTTCAGAACTTCTCAAGAGTAACAAGTACCTACGTTTTTTCTTTTTTTCTTTTCATTTCTTATGTTTCTACCAATAGGAAGAAAGGAATACTGGTAGCATATAGGAGAGACATGGTTGTCTCTATCAGGCACGTTTTTTCTTGAAAATTCTCACGTGTCCTCGCGTTTACGCCCGCGCTTCCATGAACTTCTCTCTTTCTCTCTCTCTCTCTCTTTCTCTCTCTCTTTCTCTCTCTTTCTTCGAATATACGAATTCGTCGTCATCTTCGTCTTCATCCTCATCCTCGTCCTTCTCGTCCTCCTCATTCTCTTCCATTTCCTCCTCCTTCGTTCGTTACACCTTCCACCTCTCCTTCTCATTCTACCCTTTTTCTCCGTAAAGGCGTACAATAGCACCCGGCTGATGGCACTGGCGGTTATGGATGAACGGTAGCGAACGAGGAGCGACAGTCGGCAAGAAGCGATGAGAGAAAAAGGAAGATGAGAAGGATGAGAAGGAGAAGGAGGAGGAGGAGGAGGAGGAGGAGGAGGAGGTGGTGGTGGTGGTGGTGGTGGTGCAGGAGATGAGGAAGATGAAGAAAAGGGAGACGAAGGAGGCTGTGGTAAATCGTTCGCCGAGCAGAATCTCTTCGAGCGGCACGTTTCTCCGACGAACTTGGAGATTCTCTCTTCTCTTTACGCCATCGCAAGAAATTTTCCCTATCTTCTATTTCCTCTCTCTCTTTCTCCCTCTCTCTCTCTCTCTCTTTTTCTCATTCTCTGTCTGCCTTTCTTTTTGTCAACTTCACGCAGTGAATTCTTCATGATAGATAAAGAAATTTCGTTGACACGAGAAACGTGGCCAAAAATATCAAGAAAAATAGTAAAACTATGAAAATTCCGATTTTTCTATCTTTCTATACATACTTTATACATAACAGGATGAATAAGAGATAGACAATAAATGTAACGAACGAGAAAGAGAGAGAGAAAGAGAGAAAGAGAGAGAGAGAGAGAGAGAGACCATCAGAAAAATTGAGTTCCTTGAACCGAGACAACGCGCTTCGTGGTTCTTGTTATTGTTGTTGTTATTGTTGTTGTCGGTGCACTTCGGTTCTGTGAACTTCGGGATGACGTCCAATCTTCGTCCTCGATTCTTCGAATTGGAGAATGAGTTGTTGGTAGCACCTTATTCGTTGGAACATCGCACAAATGAAAACACCTTCGCGTATCTTTTTCATTGCGTCTTTCCTCTTTTTATTTTTTATTTTTTTTGCCTTCCTCTTCATCTTCTTCTTCTCTTCCTCCTCTTCTTCTTCTACTTCTTCTTCTTCTTCTTCTTCTTCTACTTCTTCTTCTTCTTCTTCTTCATCTTCTTCTTCTTCTTCTTCTTCTTCTCGATTCAGATCAATCGATCGATCTTCTCTCTTTTTTTTCGATGAGTCTTCCGAGGAGATCGTATTCATCTTAAGACGGTCAAATCGATCGGAAGAGAGTTTCTCCTTTAGTATACTCGAGCACGAAAGGTATATAACATAGAGTTGCATTCGAAGCGATCTTTAAGGTACATCGAACCCTCCCTTTATATGTTCCTTTATACCCTCTTAAATATACCTGAATCCTCGAAAAGGATTTCGAATGCATAGCAAGGAGGAACAGGTGTCAAGAGCTGATGGAGAAACGTTGAGGAAGGAGGTGATACGTAGAAATCGACACGAAGAAATAGAGAGAAAGAGAAAAGATGTAAAAGAAAAATATAGGAAACAAAACGAAGAAGAGAGAAAAGGAGTAAGTATAAAAAAGATATATATATATATACATATATATATATATACATATATATATATATATATATATATATATATATATATATATATCTTTAAAAAGAAAGAGTAGTGGTGGTTCTCGCCCAACTCCCCCTCGACTTATATTCTTGGAGCGCATCGAGGCCCGTCTCCGGGCACAGGCTCCTTTCAAGGATAACGAGTAATCCTGGATAGTGGATCCGCTGATCCGAAGGAGTGAGAAAGAGAAAGAAAGAAAGAAAGAAGGAAAGAAAGAAAGAAAGAAAGAAAGAAAGAAAGAAAGAAGAAAAGAAGGAAAAAGAAAAAAAGAATAGCTCTACTCTTCAACTCGTCCCTTTTCCATCGATCCGAAGTCTTCTAAGTCCACTCCCTGTAGAAGCCTATAATTATATATGGATTTTGATCCGTGTTAGAGTCCGAGCGATGGCCGCCGGACGACGCGATGCGATGGCCCGTCGTCGGTTGCCCCAGGCGTAGGTGGCAGAGAGGGTCAAATCGACGGAGGTCACCTTTTTTCCCCTCTTCTCTTCGAGCACCTTCAATGTTGCTAGGAAGAAGGAACTTGCTAAAGTTCGGTCGAAGTTTCTCGCTCCGGACCAGGATTCTCCTTCTCCTTTTTTTTCTTTCTCTCTTTCTATATATATATATATATATATATATATATATATATATATATCTTTCTTTCTCGCTCTTGCTTTCGTTCTCTCTCTCTCTCTCTCTCTCTCTCTCTCTCTCTCTCTCTCTCTCTCTCTCTCTCTCTCTCTCTCTCTCTCTTTCTCTCCCGCACGTCTCTTTGCCCTTAGAACGTGACTCGACGAAAGGCCTGGGTTTTGTTTTGACAAATCCTCCCGTACGTGTGCGTCGAGTCGCTCGGTTGGACCCTCTTTTCTGGCTTCGGGGTTTCCTGTATTGGGTCCTGTTAGTGTGCATTGGACTCTCTCTCTCTCTCTCTTTCTCATTCTCTATCTATCTATCTATCCATCTATCTATCTATCTATCTATCTATCTATCTATCTATCTATTTCTCTCTCTCTATCTCTCTCTCTCTTTCTCTCTATCTTCTTCCTTCTCTTCTCGACGATGTAAAAACGAAAGAGAGAGAGAGAGAGAGAGAGAAAGAGAGAGAGAAAGGCAGGTACTTTAACTTGCTCGTCGTTTTGTCGAAACCCCCCACCAATCTGACCCGATATAAACACGAGTGGCTGATAGCCGTAGGGCCCTGTGAACGAGTGCAACGAAGAAAGATAGAACGATAGAGAGAAAGAGGACGAAGAAGTAGAAGTAGAAGAAGAAGAAGAAGATGAAGAAGAAGAAGAAGAAGAAGAAGAAGAAGGAAGAGGAGGAGAAAGAAGGAAGGAAAGGGTCCGTAGAAGCAGGACAACTAAAAGGAGGATGATGGTATAGAAGGAAGAAGAGAGGAGAGCGTCCTCTGAGTCCACGAGTACTGCCGAGCTCACCCGAAGCAGACCGAGCTGAGATACAAACGAAACGAGCAAAGGGAAAAAAAAAAAGTGAAACACGAGGGAGGCAAAGTGCAGCTGAGCCCCAGTGGCGTAGCCGCTACTTTCTTTGCCCATGGATCGACGTATGGGTTTAATCTGTTGAAGAAAAATTATCGTCCAATTCAATATCTTCGAGCAAATTTAATGAGATTTAAAATTATCTGTGAATGTCATTGGTATTGTCCACTACGACTAGTTCTTCTTTTTTCTTTTCTTTATTTATTTTCGTTCCTTTGTTTTTTTTTTTTTTTGTTTATTTTTATTCATGAAAATCAAACTCGAGATAATTTTAATAATATGATGTTTAATTGGGACACCATAATGAACTATCTGCCTTCCCATTTTTCTTTCTTTCTTTTTGTTTTTGTTTTTTTTTTTATCTTGAGATTGGAAACAGTCCCATAAAAAGATATACCAATGACAAGGGACACCAGTTAGATTTGCTAAATCTCTGCCAAAGTGCATTAGGACGATTACGACAACAACGACGACGACGACGACGACGACGACGACGACGACGAACGAGAAGAGAAAGATGAAGAAGAAGAAGAAGAAGAAGAAAAAGGGGGATGATGCTTTTTTCCAGGCTGAATAATGTCGAGTCCCGGCCATTGTGCTGTGTGTGCAAGTCAGTCCTCAATAGCCGGGGGTCTAACCGGACAAAACAGGGACGTAGGCCCCAACGGTCTGTCCGTTGAACTGGGTCACGCCGAAGTGGTTGATTGTATTTTTTGTTGGAACATCTCTTTCTCTCTCTCTCTCCCTCTCCTTCTCTCTCTCTCTCTCTCTACTTTGGACTGGACCTCATCTCCCAACTTTTCTTTATCCTTTTCGCACTCTCCCGTACGTTTTATTCTCTTCTTCTCACTCTCTTTTGATCTCAAAAAGGGAGGAAAGAAGAGGGCGAAGGTGGAGAAAAAGTATAAGAAAAGAGAGAGAAAGAGGGAGAGGGAGAGAGAGAGAGATAGAAAGAGAGAGTAGGAAGGAGGTAGGCGTCATTATGAAAATGATACTGTACCTGTAGCCAAGGGGACAGACCGCAGACCATGGCAATTACGCGTAATGAAACGTCCGGGTCCACCGTTCGCAGGGAGAGACGGCGAAGGGCAATTGACGACGTTTATACCTACGCACGGAGGAGAGATCTCGAACTCGTGTAAACTGCGACGTGGCATCGCGTGTAAATAAGTCGTAAAAAATCTGTTCGCCCCCTCCCGTCCTCTTCTCCTTTCTTGGCGAAGGCTATTCTCTCTCTCTCTCTTTCTCTCTCTCTCTCTCTTTTTTTTTTTTTCTCTCGACATTAAGGGCTACGTTACGAGCTTCGTATCCATCCCTCTTATCTTTTTCTTTCCAATTTTAAAGATTCAACGGGCGTCGATCGATCCAAAAACGAAGTAAGATCAAATCTCTGTATAATTAACTTCGTGATCATGATAATGTAATTCCTATCGAACTAAAGAGAGAGAGAGAGAGAGAGAGAGAGAGAGAGAGAGAGAGAGAGAGAAGGACGGACAATCGTTGGAAAAAAAATAAGAAAATAAAAATAAAAATAAAAATAAAATGAAATAAAATAAAAGGGAAAAAAAAGTCTCTCTCTTTCTCACCCCCTCTCTCCCTCCCTCCCTCCCTCCCTCTCTCTCTCTCTCTCTCTCTCTCTTTCTCTCTCTCTCTCTCTCTCTCTCTCCTCTCCTCTTTGACTCGCATTTCTCCCTCTCATTAGAATCGCCGTAACATATCTG